CATAATCATCATAATAATCATTCATCAATCAACATAACATTCGATAGCAAATAGCGGCCTAGCTTCGAGTGTTAACACCCGAACTTACCGTCATGCATCACATAACATTTTATTTGTCAAAAATACCATTTTTATTTCAAGAAATCATATCTATATTAGTTATAATTCATTGGCATCAAAAATATGATTTTAGAACTCAAAAATAGCATTTTTCGTAGTTGACAGTGTTCGGAACGGTCCACCGTTTTCAGCCGACGGTCGACCGTTATTATAACAGTGGTATGGGAGTTTCTGGTCTCAGAACGGTCGACCTTCGTGGAGGGACGGTCGACCTTCTGGTAGAACGGTCGACCTTTTGTCAAAACGGTCGACCTTTCCTGCCAACCAGCAAACAGTGCTTCATCTTCAACCTCGGGTCAGATTTTCGAAAACTCATTTTTAGCCACCAAACTTCAATTAAACTTTATAGAAATGTTCTCCAATGTTAATAGATCAATTAAATACCATTAATTTGAAGTTTTAACAACAATTTCCAAATTTATGATTCTTGGTTCTTGAAGCATATCAAACACAAAACTCAACCAAATGGTCGTTTATGAACGTAGAAACGATCTATATGAACATTCTAGTCACTAGATATATCTACGGGCTTACCTTGAAGCGTAAGGGGGGTTTTGACGATTTTCCGGCGAAACTTCCGGCAACGATTACTCCCATCTCCGGCGACCTTTCACAAAATTGACAGCATCTATGTACTCTCCATATTCATAGCTCTCATATGAAAGAAGAAGGAAAGATTTTGGGGTGGAAATGAGGAAGAGGAGAGTAGCATTTATAGCCAGAGAAGAAGGAAGAAGACAATTGGTGATCCTGGTGATGATGGGTCGATTAGTGCGCAGGGCTGCGATGCTAATGAATTTCTCACGATTCTTCTCTGATTGGGACTAATTTGGTCCCAGTCGGGGTACACTTTTTGGTCCAACTTTATCCGAATTGAATTCCGTTTGCACCGTTGCGATCTGACAGTTAAACTATATCCAACGGTATAATTTTTATATTTATTCGTTATACTTTTTCCGACATCATATTTTTGGGTGGTTGACTTTGATAAAGTCAAAATTGATTCAATTGACCTTTATTCAAAAAGGTTCTCATAATTAATTCATATAATTTATTTCCATGATTTATTTCAATAAATCATTTCAAAGTTCACATTACAAACAATTTCTTCATTTATTCTTAATTTGGGTCTGTACTCAGGTTCCCAATCAAGATCACACAATAAGTCAACATGTTGGATTTATATTTATGAGATTTAACCCAATTATGTTTATTGGACATCAATGTATATTTTGTTTCGGCCCAAAGCCCAACAATAATTTATTTTACTCAAAACAAATTTTGTTTAATTGAATATTTTATTCAATAAATTTTAGGGTATATTTTGGGGCGTTACATTTATGTTTTCATTTAAGGTGAAGTATCAAGATAAACATATTTTTACTTTATGAGTCTAATGAGTTTGATCTTAAAGCACAAATGACTTATAATATGGCAATCAATCCTAACGATATATCTAGATTGATATTCAACCAAGGATTGCGTTACTAAGGTGCAATTGACTCGCCTTGATATCGTAGAGGTTGGGAAAATAGAATGATAACAATACGCCTCAACAAACGTTCAACGTACGGTCGCCCCTATCAACTTCGAGCATCCGACATTCAATCTTCTTGGAAATAATCTCCGGAAGTTCCTAATAACCACGAGAGAGTTGACGGTAAGTATTTGGAAAGAAACGATATGAAAACAATGAAGAAACTTGGCCAACCCGAGGAGCTCTCCACCACTGGAGCAGTCCCGGTATTTTGGCCATATCTTCTTCGTTACTTAACGAAATCGCGAGCCGTTTGTTGGGTTGGATTTGTAACATCTGGGGCTACGATTTTGGTATAATAAACAATTTGAGAAAATGGATAGAAATTACAGAATTCACGAAGAAGTTGATGCTGCGTTTTTGAGCTTAAGATTTGGGAACCTTGACACTTCTTCTTGTTTCTCCTTCTTCTTCCTTGGCTCAACAATGGAGTATTTTTGGGTTTTCTTCCTCCTGAGCTGCTGCCGACAGAGAGAGGATGGGGAGGGGATGAATGATAGACGGATGATGGTGATAAGGTGTGAGGATGATGATGGTGGTGGTAGGGTGATAATATAGGAAAAGTAAATTGGAGGGATGTGGTGGTGGGGTCCTAATGTGGTTTGATTGAGGATTGGAAGAGATGGGGGGAAGTGTCTCTACGTGATTTGGAGGGTTTGGGGAATCAAATATATTCTCCTACTCCGTAATTGATAAACTGGCTAAAACGGTACGCGCTTTTTCGCCCAAACTGTTCCGTTTTGAAAACGGGTCGCGTTTTTGGAATCAGACTGTCAAAACCAGAATTTTGATATAATTAAAATATTTTTCTGCAAACTTATATATTTTTCAGTGTGCGGGTCTGTCTCAGTCGTTAATTAATTTTTAAATTAATTAATTCTTTTTAGGCCTAATTTCGGGGCGTTACAATTCTCTCCCCCTTAAAAAAATTTCGTCCTCGAAATTACCTGATCACTGGTCGGTGAAAATTGTGGATATTGAGATCGCATAGACTCCTCAGTTTCCCAGGTTGCTTCTTCGATAGAGTGACTCCTCCAAAGCACCTTAACTAAGGGTACAATCTTGTTCCTCAATACTCAAACTTCTCGTGCCAGAATCTCTACAGGTTCCTCTTCATAGGAGAGATTCTCATCAAGAGTGACTGTCTCTGTTGGAATAATGTGAGATGGATCTGATCTGTATCTCCTCAACATTGACACATGAAACACATATTGAATCTTTTTTAGCTCTGGTGGTAATTCCAACCTGTAGGCTACAGGTCCCACACGTTCTATAACTTTGTATGGGCCTATAAACCTCGGACTGAGTTTCCCCTTTTTGCCCAAACGTAAAACCTTCTTCCAAGGAGAAACCTTCAAGAATACCCTGTCACCAACAGCATATTCGATATCGCGTCGCTTGAGGTCTGCATAAGATTTCTGTCTGTCTGCTATCTGAAGTCTTTCTCTGATCAACTGAACTTTTTCCTCTGTTTCGCGCACTAGTTCTGGACCTTCGAGTTTTCTCTCACTCAATTCAGTCCAACAAACTGGTGTACGACATTTCCTTCCGTACAGTGCCTCATACGGAGCCATTTCAATACTTGCCTGATAACTATTGTTATAGGCAAATTCCATCAGAGGAAGATATTTTTCCCAATTGTTTCCAAAATCAATGACGCATGCTCGCATCATATCTTCGAGAATCTGAGTAGTCCTCTCAGACTGTCCGTCAGTCTGAGGATGGAAAGCCGTGCTGAAATGTAATTTGGAACCGAGAGCTTTCTGCAAGCTCTTCCAAAATTGGGAAGTGAATCGAGGATCGCGGTCTGATATGATGGATGATGGTACTCCGTGTATTCTGACAATCTCGTGAATGTACAGCTCCGCCAGACGCTGTAGTGTAAAATCTCGCCGAATTGGTAAGAAATGCGTCGATTTTGTCAAACGATCAACAATAACCCAAACTGCATCATTCTTCCTTGGAGATAATGGTAATTCGATTACAAAATCCATCGTAATGCGGTCCCATTTCCACTCAGGAATAGTGATTTGCTGCAGAAGTCCTGTAGGTACCTGATGTTCGGCTTTGACTTGCTGACAAGTCATACATCTCGATGTGAATTCGGTGATCTCCCTTTTCATAGCTGACCACCAATAGTGTCTCTTCAGGTCCTGGAACATTTTGTTACTTCCGGGATGCATGGTATACACGGTTCCGTGAGCTTCACGCAATAAGCGATCCCTCACATCTCCTAATGGTACTACCAAACGATCCCGATAGTATAGTGTACCATCATCTTGAACTGAGAAGTCTTGTTTCTCTCCCTTGGAAACAAGCTCTCGTGTCTCGAGACAAAAGATATCCTGATGCTGTGCTGAAATAATATCCTGATCCAATGTAGGTCGTATGCGGAGTTCAGCAAGAGTCTTACGACTAAGAGCATCGGCTACCACGTTCGCTTTACTGGGATGGTAAGCGATGTGACAGTCATAGTCCTTAATCAACTCTAGCCACCTTCTCTGTCAAAGGTTTAACTCCTTTTGGCTCATCAAATACTGTAGACTCTTGTGGTCGATGAATATGCGAGTCGTCTCGCCGTATAAGTAGTGTCTCCAGATCTTCAAAGCAAGAACAACAGCTGCTAGCTCCAAATCATGAGTTGGATAATTGCATTCACGGGGCTTCAGCTGTCGTGATGCATAAGCCACAACCTTGCCTTCCTGCATCAGTACACACCCAAGGCCCTGATGTGATGCGTCGCTGAAAACTGTGTATTCAGTACCAGGTGTCGGTTGGACTAACACAGGTGCCTGAGTCAAACATTCTTTCAACTGTTCGAAGCTTTTCTGACAAGCTTCTGTCCAAGCGAACTTGACATCCTTCTTCATCAGTTTATGAAGTGGTGTGGCGATTCGAGAAAAGTCCTTCACGAAGCGACGATAATAACCAGCGAGTCCAAGGAAACTCCGTACCTCACGGGTATTGCGTGGAGTTTTCCATTCGGTGATCGCTGAAATTTTGCATGGGTCAACCTTGACTCCTTCCGCAGAAATCACGTGACCGAGAAAAGTGACCTCATTCAGCCAAAACTCACATTTAGAAAGTTTGGCATAGAGTTTATGCTCTCTCAATATACTCAGCACGATGCACAAATGTTCAGCATGATCCTCTGGTGTTTTTGAGTAGACCAAAATATCATCGATGAAGACCACAACAAAATGATCCAAATACTGTCTGAAAACGCTATTCATGAGATCCATGAATACGGCTGGTGCATTTGTTAAGCCAAAGGGCATAACGGTAAATTCATAATGTCCGTAACGTGTACGAAAAGCCGTCTTAGGAATGTCTTCTGGTTTCACAGGGATCTGATGGTAACCGGATCTGAGATCAATCTTTGAGAAAACAGTCACACCTCGTAATTGATCAAACAGATCATCAGTACGGGGTAACGGATAATGGTTCTTGATCGTCACTTTGTTCAGCTGACGGTAGTCGATGCATAATCTCATCGATCCATCTTTCTTACGGACGAAAAGAGCAGGTGCCCCCCACGGGGAAACACTAGGACAGATGAAGCCTTTATCTAATAACTCCTGCAGTTGGGCTTTCAATTCCTTCATTTCTGCAGGGGCCATTCGATGAGGTGATGCTGAGATGGGTCCAGTACCAGGTACAAGATCAATAGAGAATTCTACTTCTCTCGGATGAGGTAGACCTAGAAGTTCCTCACGAAATACATCAGGAAAGTCACAAACCACAGATATATCCTTATGATTAGGTGTTTCCTTTCGTATATCCTTAACAGTGCACAAGAATGCTTCGCATTTCCTGCGAATGAGCCGTTTTGCTTGCATATAAGAGATGAATTCGGGAGCTTTCGGTAGCAGTTCTCCCCGAATGATCACCTCGTTGTCGTCGTCTGTGCGAAGTTTCACCACTCGTTCCTTGCACTCGACAATAGCCTGGTGTTTTTCCAACCAGTCCATGCCAAGTATAACGTCAAACTCCTTGTGAGGGAGTTCAATGAGATCGGCCAAGAATATTCTTCCTTGAGCCATCAACGGACATTGATTATAGACATGTTGGAGACGTAGACTGTGTCCCAGTGGGTTCAACACAACTACCGGATACTCAAGAGTTTCCTTAGTGACGTCAGATGTAACAGGCATAGGTACACATATATATGATAAGGTAGATCCAGGGTCAATTAAAGCAGATACAGTGATATCAAATAAAGTGAACATACCCATGATGACATCATTGGTCTGTGGATCTGTACGCCCTTGCATGGCATACGTACGAGCTGGTGCTCGTCCCTGCTGCTGACTAGTTGCTGGCCTCTTTGGTTGGTTGGACGCGGCTGTAGAACGATGACTCTGGGTAGGCTCGGCCCTTCGGACAGTAGGAGCAGTCGGTGTGCCTGGTCCAGTGGAGATAGCCTTGCCTGGATTCACCGGGCATTCGTTCCGAAAGTGACCTGCCTGACCACACCCGAGGCAAAGACCCTGTATGAACCAACACTCACCAGCATGTCTGCGGTTACAGTGTGAACATACTGGATTACGGTATGTCATCTTCTCCTTCCCGCTCTTACTAGTGACGGCCACAGATGTAGAGGGAGTAGATTTCGCTCGCTTATCATGGCGAGTGTTGCTCGGCGCGGAGAAGGTCCTCTTGCTACCATGTCCCATTTTCGGGCCTGATTGGACGGTCCGACTTTCTTCCAAAAGTGCCTGTTCATACGCAGCTTTCCTGATGAGCTCCTCGTTCAGCTCAAGAGCTTTCTTATAGACATCGTTGATGTCGGCTCGGGGAGCAATAATGAGTGTTGACGACAGGTCTGGTCTAATACCCTTGATGAACTTCTTGCAGCGCTTCTCCATGGTGTTGACCAAGTCTTTACCAAACTCAGCCAATCCGTCAAATTGCTGACGGTACTCGGGGAGAGTCAGCTTCCCTGAGTGAAATTGGAGAATTCCTCATATTTGGCCTCGACGTAGTGATTGGGCACATACTTGGCTTTGAAGAGTGGCTCGAAGGTAGTCCATGGTACTGGTACGGGAATGTTGGCACCTACTCGCTTCCACCAATCATAGGCGGCATCTTGCAATAGGGATATGGCATGCTGTCCCCAATCCTCGATAGGTACCTTCAAATTCTCCAGTACCCTCACCGTGCGCTCTTGCCAACGCTTGGCTATTTGAGGGTCCGCTATCTGGTCGCCACAGAATTCCTGCGCCCCATTCCTCTTGAGTTTTTCAATCGAGACAATGGGTGCAGGAGGAGGTGGTGGTGGTGGTACGTGCGCTCCCGCCATCTGCTGGAAGAACTGGAACATGTTCGCAACCATTTGCGGTTGGAACATCGGAATGGCTAAATTCGGGTTCTGACCCGCGAACTGCTCCGGAACTGGCTGAGGTTCCGGCTGAGGCTGCGGCTGCTAGGGCACGTAACTGGATGCTTCAGTGTGCACCGTATGCACACTAACGTGCTCAGGCTCCGCGTGAGGGTTTGCCTGACCGTGAGTCGAGTCCTGACTCATTCTATAATTAATTTAAAATGTAATTAGTCATAAGTAAACTAATTGTTTTACCTTCCCGGGCAGAGATGTGGAGAGATGCGGACTTGTGTTTAAAAACTCTTTTGATTTGATTTCCAAAATTTTTTTTTAAACCAAATGCTCTGATACCAAAATGTAACACCCCAACTCGAATAACCAAATTACCTAGATTATTCGAGCCGGAGTAGTTACCATGATGGTAAATACGCATAATAATTTGAGGAATAATTTAAATCCAATTTAAACTTTTATATAAATGATAATTTCAAATATTAAATTCAGAGTATTGATGAAACAGTGCGGAAGCTTAAATATAAAACATAATCAAATTGTTTTACATTTTCTGGGTACTCGCCCGAAAAGGTATTTATTTAATTAAAGCATCACAAAAGTGGTCCACCAGTCCGTACATCTCTTCACTCTCATTGACCTCCGGGATGGGCTCCATGACCAGTGTCGTAACCTGCGTGTAGCAAGTAAAACAAACTACACGCTCAGCGTCAGCTGAGGAATACGCTAGTACAACAATTCCAAATTGAATAGCAAGTAGACATACAATTATTCATGATATGACATAATATAGCATATATATTCAAGATGATGATAATGATACGTGATTGATGTCATACATGATCCTAATGATTGTACTTGATGATGATTTCATGCTATATGATTCTAACGAGCAAGGACACCCTTGCGCTATGAGATTCGCCCATTTGGTACGACGAACTCACGCGGCCTTAGTCTCTCAAGGGAGACTAGAAAGTAGGGGTGGTACTCGAAACTTGAATACCATGTACGTACACTAAGCCCGAAACGGGTGATGTCGGACTAATAAGTCCCGCACATCACACTACAAGAGACGCACTTCCGCCTGATCTCTTGCGCATGCACATGATGTGATATGTTTCAATATGGATGATGAAATGAATCACATGATATGAACAATTTGTAAACAACATGATTGGATAAATATACTTTATTTTATTTGGATGAAATCTGATAAAAATATCATTTATTTAAGCTACGGGGCTCGGAACGGTCGNTGATGTCGGACTAATAAGTCCCGCACATCACACTACAAGAGACGCACTTCCGCCTGATCTCTTGCGCATGCACATGATGTGATATGTTTCAATATGGATGATGAAATGAATCACATGATATGAACAATTTGTAAACAACATGATTGGATAAATATACTTTATTTTATTTGGATGAAATCTGATAAAAATATCATTTATTTAAGCTACGGGGCTCGGAACGGTCGACCGTTAGGCGCGACGGTCGACCTTAAACTTCATCGCGTCGGGTTGGGGAATCACCGTGACGGTCGACCGCGGTTGACCGGCGGTCGACCGTTGTTGACTGGAGGTGGACGGCGGCACTTGGCAGGGCAGGCGACGGTCGACCGTTGGCCACCGGCGGTCGACCGTTTGTCTGACAGTCTTGCTCCGTTTCGGTTCTTAACGCAACAGTTGACCGTTTACGTCGACCGTTTGGGTCTACGAATCCTATTTTTGATATTTTTGGATATCTAAAATACTTCTTTGAGTTATTTTAACACTTATGATTACACATCTATGTATTTGAAGGATTCTTAACATTTATGTTTTCATTTAAGGTGAAGTATCAAGATAAACATATTTTTACTTTATGAGTCTAATGAGTTTGATCTTAAAGCACAAATGACTTATAATATGGCAATCAATCCTAACGATATATCTAGATTGATATTCAACCAAGGATTGCGTTACTAAGGTGCAATGTACTCGCCTTGATATCGTAGAGCTCGGAAAAATAGAATGATTACAATACGCCTCAACGAACGTTCAACGTACGGTCGCCCCTATCAACTTCGAGCATCCGACGTTCAATCTTCATGGAAATAATCTCCGGAAGTTCCTAATAACCACGAGAGAGTTGACGGTAAGTATTTGGAAAGAAACGATATGAAAACGATGAAGAAACTTGGCCAACCCGAGGAGCTCTCCACCACTGGAGCAGTCCCGGTATTTTGGCCATATCTTCTTCGTTACTTAACGAAATCGCGAGCCGTTTGTTGGGTTGGATTCGTAACATCCGGGGCTACGATTTTGGTATAATAAACAATTTGAGAAAATGGATAGAAAATTACAGAATTCACGAAGAAGTTGATGCTGCGTTTTTGAGCTTAAGATTTGGGAACCTTGACACTTCTTCTTGTTTCTCCTTCTTCTTCCTCGGCTCAACAATGGAGTATTTTTGGGTTTTCTTCCTCCTGAGCTGCTGCCGACAGAGAGAGGATGGGGAGGGGATGAATGATGGATGGATGATGGTGATAAGGTGTGAGGATGATGATGGTGGTGGTAGGGTGATAATATAGGAAAAGTAAATTGGAGGGATGTGGTGGTGTGGTCCTAATGTGGTTTGATTGAGGATTGGAAGAGATGGGGGGAAGTGTCTCTACGTGATTTGGAGGGTTTGGGGAATCAAATATATTCTCCTACTCCGTAATTGATAAACTGGCTAAAACGGTACGCGCTTTTTCGCCCAAACTGTTCCGTTTTGAAAACGGGTCGCGTTTTTGGAATCAGACTGTCAAAACTAGAATTTTGATGTAATTAAAATATTTTTCTGGAAACTTATATATTTTTCAGTGTTCGGGTCTTTCTCAGTCGTTAATTAATTTTTAAATTAATTAATTCTTTTTAGGCCTAATTTCGGGGCGTTACATTGCTTGAGTAAAACACTCAAAAAATCTTTAAAAAAACTTTTTGTTTACATTCTGTTTCTCTTACTTCTTCTAGTTAGAAGTAGTACTTGCATTTTTTTTGCCTCCTGTTGGGCCATTTTCTTAGAATTAGCAACATCTTTGGTCAAGTTATATCCTTTACAATGCAAATTAATATGTCTTTAGGATGTTTTGCTTCTAAAATCTGATCTGGACAGCGTCAAAAGTAATCTTTAGACTGAAATAAGAGAGCTACTGGACTTTATATGCCCTTTTAAATGAATATCATGAATGGGTTTAGAAAAAGTGCTTCTCTTAAGTAAGACGAGAGTCATTTTTAGATGCTGTAAGGAACTTATTTGTTAATTTCTATACAAGAACAAATGAAAAGAGCTTGGATACTAAATGATAAAAGTTTTGAACTAAAACCAAATAAAAGCCCTTTTTGCATTATCTAATCAAGTGATAAAGATAAGTTTTAAGAATTCTAATACCGTTCTTGTTTCAAGTTGCAGCTTTGTGTACTTGCATGCTATTAAGGAGTGGAAGAGTTATTGGAGAAACAATTGAGCTAGGTTACAATCACCAGGTAAGTGTGGCTGGACTTGACTCTTTTAATTTCCAAACGTGTGAAGCTGTGCTTGAGTCTGGTTGTGAAGTTTCCAATGTGTTTGGTGCTGATTCTGAATCTGATTTTGAGCCAATATTTGGAAACCTTTTTGAAATCAAAAGTGAACAAAAAATGGCTACTTTGAAAGAACTTGCTGCCCCTAATTTAAATGTTCAACCTTTGGCTATTACTTACACTGAATTGGAAAAACCTTTAAAGCTGAATTCTGGGTTTATAAATCTTCTGCATAAGTTTCATGGTCTTCTTGGAGAGGATCCCTTCAGGCACATCTCTGAATTTCTGATTACATGCGGTGCTATGGTGCCTGAAGGGGTCGCTCAAGATCAAATTAGGCTGAGAGCTTTTCCTTTTTCCTTATGTGATAAAGCTAAAGATTGGTTATATTATATGCCTGCTGGTTCTTTTACAACATGGAATGCTTTACATAAGGCTTTCTTAGAGAAATACTTCCCAGCCTCTAGGATAAGATCCATTAGGAAGGACATCTGTGGGATCAAACAAATGATAGGTGAAAATTTTTCTGAATATTGGGAGAGGTTTAACAAGCTTTGTGCTTCATGCCCACAACATCAAATTTCTGAACAATTGTTGATTCAATATTTTTATGAAGGACTCCTCCCCACTGATAGGAATAATGTAGATGCTGCAAGTGGAGGAGCCCTTGTTAACAAAACCCCTACTCAAGCTAGGGAGCTTTTTAACTTGATTGCTCAGAACACCCAACAATTTGGAACAAGAGAAACACTGGTTAAAAAGGTCAATGAAGTTGAAAGTAAATCAATTGAACAAAAGCTTTCTGAACTCACCTTTATGATGTCAAAACTAGTTTCTGGGGGTGGGAATGTTAGGGGGATCCATTGTGGAGTGTGTTGTCTAGAAGGGCATGCAACTGATGCTTGTCCAACCTTTCAAAATCCTGAAGTCAATGCTGTTTTTTATTACAATCAACAAAGAAAATATGATCCATACTCAAATTCTTATAATGAGGGCTGGAAGGATCATCCAAATCTCAGATATGGTCCTCCTCAAAACAATAATCAGAATTTTAATCAAGCAAATAGGGGAAATCTGAATTTAAACCATCAACCTAACCAAGATAGAAGTGCCCAGATGCTTGAACAAATTCTCAAGAAAATGGATGACAAGTTTTCAAGTTTTGATTCAAGTCTTAAACAAGTTCAAGAAAAACAAACAGCTACTGATGTGATAATAAGCAACTTGCAGGCTCAAATGAATCAAAGAATCCCTTCTCAGCCTTTTCCAAATCCAAAAGAAAACATTAGTGCTGTGGTTTTAAGGAATAAGAAACAATTGCCTGAACCTAAGGATAGGGATATGTTTGAGAGTGAGAAAGAAGTACCTTAAGTTGTGAACCTTGAGTTTTGAGGCTTCCGACAGAAGTTCTCATGGGGCTGAAACAGTGGGAAAAACACCTGGGAATGATAATACAGACCAAGGGGAAAGGGTAGAAGACATGGTCAGAGCTAAAGCTCCCTTCCCGAGTAAGTTCATTATCCAAAAATCTAGGAATAAAGACTTAGATCATGAACTTTTAGATACCTTTAAGAAGGTAGAGATCAATTTGCCCCTCTTAGAAGCCATCAAACAAGTGCCTAAATATGCAAAATTCTTAAAAGAGCTGTGCACTAATAAGAAAAGACTTTCGGGGAATGAAAAAATCCAACAACAACAATAACAACAACAACAACCCAGTTGAATCCCACAACAGTAGGGTCTGGGGAGGGTGTGTGTACGCAGACCTTGCCCCTAAGTAGGGAGGCTGTTTCCAAGAGACCCCCGGCTCCACCTGCACAAAAATATGGAAGAGAACAAAATATAGCCAAGATAAGGCCCCAAGTACAAGCAACAAGTACAAACAATAGCAGAAGATTCCAAACAAATACAACACACTACAAAACAACCTCTACAACAACTAGCTCCTATCCAGCTACTCTAATCCTAGTTCTCCAAAGGTTCCTATCTAGGGCCATATCCTCAGTCAGGTCGAGAAGTCCTAAATCCTGCCTAATCACCTCCTCCCAATTCTTCTTAGGTCTACCCCTTCCCCTTCTTCCCCCGATAACCGTAATCCTCTCGCATCTCCGTACAGGGGCGTCAGCATCCCGTCGTCTCACATGGCCAAACCATCTCAATCTCACTTCCCGCAACTTGTCTTCCACCGGTGGCATACCTACCTGACGTCGGATAACTTCGTTCGAAATCCTGTCCAACCTTGTCTTCCCACACATCCATCGTAACATTCGCATCTCCGCCGCATGCAGACGACGCACATGAGTCTTCTTAACCGCCCAACACTCTACCCCATATAACATAGCAGGTCTGACTACGGATCGATAGAACTTACCTTTCATTCTAGGCAAAATATTCGGATCACACAACACCCCTGAAGCTAACCGCCATTTGGCCCAAGCCACTCCAACCCGATGTCCAACATCCGCATCTAACTCCCCATCTGCCTGAATTACCGAGCCAAGATATCGAAACATGTCTACCTTAGGTACTAGGTGAGAGTCAATCCGGACTTCCACCTCTGATTCTGTATCCCGGCCGCTGAAACGACATTCCATGTATTCAGTCTTATTCCTACTTATTCTGAATCCTTTAGTCTTAAGGGCAAGACGCCATAATTCCAACTTGTCGTTTAGTCCCTCACGCGTGTCGTCGATAAGCACAATATCATCCGCGAAAAGCATGCACCATGGGACCCCGTCTTGAACACCTTGAGTTAGGACGTCCATCACCAAGGCGAATAAAAAAGGGCTAAGGGCAGACCCCTGGTGCAGCCCCATCCCTACCGAGAAAGAATCTGAGACGCCCCCGAAAGTCCTTACCTTAGTCATAGCCCCATCGTACATATCCTTGATCGCGCGAGTGTACACGATGGGAACTCCTCTAGCCTCAAGGCACCTCCATAAGACCTCCCTTGGCACCCTATCATACGCCTTCTCAAGATCAATAAACACCATATGAAGGTCCTTCTTCTTAGCCCTATACTCTTCCATTAACCTCCTCACGAGATGAATGGCCTCTGTAGTCGATCTGCCAGGCATAAAACCAAACTGGTTCTCCGAGATGCAAACCCCTTTCCGCACCCTATACTCAATGACTCGCTCCCAAACCTTCATGGTGTGGCTAAGCAGTTTGATGCCTCTGTAATTCTCGCAGCTCTGAATGTCACCTTTGCCTTTAAACAGAGGGACCAAAAGACTCTCCCTCCACTCATCAGGCATCCTTGCTGTCCGGAGGATAACATTGAAGAGTTTGGTTAACCAAACCCACACACCACGACCCGCATGCTTCCAAAACTCCACTGGAATCTCATTTGGTTCCAAAGCTCTCCCACTACGCATCACGCGGAGAGCCCGAACCACCTCTTCCAAGCAAATGCGTCGGCAATACACACGAGAGGCCCCCTGATGTCCCAACTCATCAAGAACTAGCCTCTGGTCTCCTCCCGCATTTAAGAGTTCACTAAAGTACTCCCCCCAGCGCTTAGCCACCTTGGCAGTCTCAACTAACACTCTACCATCGCTGTCCTTCACGCATCTCACGTGGTCTAGATCTCGGGCCTTCCTCTCGCACACTTTAGCAAGCCAGAACAGTGGATTAACACTGCCTTTCTCCTCAATATCCTTGTAGAGGCGTTCAAAAGCGGCATTCTTTGCCCTCGTTACCTCTAACTTAGCTTCTTTGCGTGCTTTCTTGTACTCCACTCGTAACGCCGCTCTTTCCTCCTCAACATTGCAGCCCATGTACCTCAAATACGCCACCTTCTTAGCTTCCACCTTACTTCGGACTGAATCGCTCCACCACCAATCACCCCGATGCCTACTCCCAGAGCCAGAGCTCAAACCTAACACTTCCCAGGCTGATTCCCTGATGCAGCTAGCCGTCCGCACCCACATATCTGTAGCCTCTCCGGTCGATTCCCACGCACCTTTCTCCTGCACTCGCTTGGTCAACTCAGCGATGTTCTCCGCACTTAGTTTCCTCCACCTGATTTGTGTGTTGCCACTCAAAGCTCTCCTATGCTTCTCCCACCTGATCACATCCATCACGAGAAGCTTGTGTTGGGTAGTGACGTTTTCACTCGGAATTACTTTAGCATCCTTGCAGAGCACCCGATCACACCTGCGCAAGAGAAGATAGTCGATCTGTGTCTTCCCCACTCCACTTACAAATGTAGCCAAATGGTCGTCTCGTTTAGGGAAACACGAGTTAGCAACCACCAAATCACTTGCTCTGGCAAACTCCAAGAGTGAAACTCCCGCTGGGTTCCTGCTACCAAAGCCAAAACCACCGTGCACGTCCTCGAAGCCATCGCCCGATTCTCCAATATGGCCATTGAAGTCGCCTCCAATGACGACTTTTTCGTTCAGTGGAAAACCAACAACCACCCCATCCAAGGCATCCCAAAACTCCCTCTTTACTTCGTCTGCCAGGCCAACATGCGGGGCGTAAGCACTCACGACATTGATCGCACAGCCACCCAAAACCAACTTCATAAACATTAGACGATCACTAATCTTCTTCACCTCCACCACAAACTCCCGCAGCTCCGGCACCACCAGAATGCCGACTCCATTCCTTCCCCTAGCTGAACCTGAATACCACAGTTTGAAACCATCAACCTCTCGCGCTTTAGTGCCCACCCACCTGGTTTCTTGCACGCATGCCACCTGAATCCTTCTCCTCTTGAGAACTTGCACCAACTCAATCGACTTACCCGTGAGGGTCCCTATGTTCCATGAGCCGAAACGCACATGCGACACTACACTACCCCTCTGCGACCCTCTTACCCCCGTACCCCCTACCCCCGTCCCCACCCCAGGATATGCCCTAGTAGCTACATTGCTAACCCACACCACTACACCTACACAACAACACCAAAAAGCAAAGAGGAGACAAAGCAACTAACACAAAAACAGTAAGGTACGAACCACTATTAAAGACGGTAAGAGCAACAATGCAAATAGTAGTAAAAGAGTACTGTAGTAGCACAAAAGTCAGCAATCAAAGCAACACCTTAACACACACAGTAGAGCAATAACAGCAATCAAATCACAAATCACAAAAGAGCAATAAAAAGCAGTAAAAGCAATAAGAACCCAAAGAAGGTTTGGAGCAGG